TACAGCCTCCCCCCCCCCCCCCCCCTCTCCCACACACACATACACAGCACCAGTGAGAAAATTCTCCACTAGTACTATTAAGAACCCTGAATATTAGGGCCATTATTGGGGCCAATATTTTTCTTGAGGCAATTAAACTAACACCATTTGTAAGTGCAACATTTTGAATATTGTACAGATTTCTCACTGAACTTGCACTGCCGGCATTACCAGAAATGACATTTGGTGACAACAGCCTTGAGATTAAACATGAAGCAGGCTTTGGAATCCAATTTAATGGTATTGATGCACTAAGGCTGGTCGACAACAAACATGACTTAATGAAGGTTGCTGTAGCTGATGCTTGGCAGAGAGAAAGGTTGGTGTTATGTATGAAACACAGGAATCCCATTATCTTATTTTTAGTAGCACAGGATGGGTGGCCTGTGGTGGTATTTCCGAGATTTGTCATCATGATAATTATATTTGTTTTGAAGACAGGATTCAGAGTTTATTCATGAAGTTATAAAACCATTTGATTGGACGTTTACAACAGACTACAAAGGAACCCTAGTAGAAACCAATGAAAATAGCTTTAAAGTAAGTTAAATTTCTATTCAACTTTTCACTTTTTCTCTCTTTGGGAACCCTGTGGGAGGAGCACAAGACTGGACATGACCCCAAAGTCTGAGATTGTTTTCCTTGTTTTCCTGTGTTTTCTCTGCCTTCTTTTTTGTTTTCACATTTTATTAGCTCTTTTGCCTCCATTTTACAGCACTTAACAGGAAAAAATCAATCAGCTCTCAAGAGAAAATGCAATGAAAACCTTRAAAATTTATTTTTCTTGAATATTTTCCACAATTTTTAGGTTTCTCCATCCACACAAAGAATAGACATGGAAAAACTGAAAATAAAAGAGAAAATATATTTTTATGATGATATTGTATTATATGAAGATGAATTAGCTGATAATGGTATTGCTAAGCTTAATGTCAAAATGGTGGGTACAAAATGGTAAATTATACTAATTATACAAATCATGTACACCTAGACTTAGCCTCCTTTACATACGTTATTAGTATCAGTAATATGTTTCCTCTCGTTCAATTCATAAAACGTCTACAAAGGGGGCTATCTAGATGTTATATGAATCGGTCGAGAGGAAACGTATTACTGATACTAATATAAAGGAGTCCCCAACAGACATTTTTTAGCCGTTTGATTACAGTATATTCAGCAGAAAAGACATTTATGAAATCCCTCATATTCAACATTTTTTAATCAACTGTATTATTATCAGACAACTAGTATTCAAAAGCACAACAAATTAAACTTGTTGAAGACAAACATTTTATAGTTCTTAACTATGTGACTGTGTATGTTGTCTATTGCCAGCGTGTAATGCAGAGCTCATTATTCCTATTGCTGAGGTTTTTCTTACGAGTAGATGGAGTCTTGGTTAGAATTAATGACACTAGACTATATCATCAGGTTAGAGCTCATTTTATTTTTTGCCTTTTTTCTTATTAAAGACTCACATTCATCCAAGATRCTTTGCAAAKTTTTCTCACATATTAAAATTTACRTAAAAACTGCCATCTTTGATCAGAWATGAAATCATTTTAACAAGATAAAAGTAAAACAAAAGGAATTTTTTCAAAGGCTCTTTGATACACTTCGGTTTTGGTGTTTTGTTGTTGTTGTTGTTGTTGTTGTTGTTGTTTTTTAGCTGTTGTGGGGATAGATGGTATCCCTGTGCCCTCAGAAACATTTTTAGAACACCCCACAGATTGGCAGATGAAATGATTTATATAGATCTGAGTTAAATGTTGTTTATTTGTTTGTTTTTTCTATTTCAAAACAATGGGATCCCTGTGTCCCCAGAAACATTTTTAGAACACCCCACAGATTGGCAGATGAAAAGACTTTTATAGATCTGAGTTAAATGTTGTTTATTTGAGTTAAATGTCATTGTTGTTTGTTTCAAAACAAGGTTGTTGTTTATTGGTTATTTCAACAATATTCATTGTGTTTCTAGGCAGGATCTAATTTCTTTTTAAGAGAATACTCTTCAAGAGAAAAGCCAGTCTCACAGATAACGGTGAGTTGACTATTGGCTATTACCAATAATCTTCCCAAAAATGTTTTAAGGCTATCTATTTATAAACAATCACATTTATTGTCCATATAATTTATGTATTTTGACACCTCTATGATTATAATCCATAATTTACTCATCCATCTTCGTCATCTTCATTATTCATTWTTTCTTCACATTTCATTTCTTTCATTAGGGTGTTTTAACTGATCCTAACTCCTTGAGCGATCAGCTTGATATAGTGAAAGAGACCGTTGAAGTACTGGAGTTTCAGTCAGGCACAGATGCTAAAGAAAGTTGAGTCAAGGTGATTTCAAGCCATCATTATATCAAACTTAAAAAATAACGACTAAAAAAATACCAAATAGCTTTTTTCACAATATTCTAATGACTAATGACTCCATTTCGATGAATTATTGGATTGAAAAAAGTCAAAAGTACAAACTTGATGAGGTCATTATGGGAAACGACCTTGATGCCCCAGTCGTAAAGCACTTAACCCAAACCCACCCCCRTACAAAACTTTATGGCTGTTGAATAGGAGGCTACATTGGTACCCTTATATTGTAATTAATATTAAATTGGTAGTTATTTTTTCAAATCTCTTGATTATTGAACCTTTTTGATAAAATTTCTAACTTTTAATGTGCTTTAAATTGATGCGTGCGCTGGTGACTGAACAGCACATGAATTAYAACAACTGTAGGTCAATTCATATACAATGTAATCCAATATTATTGTATAAGCATGTCTTATCACTCTCCTTTTTCCATTTATAAAAACGACCGAGTTTRAAAGAACATGGATCGTGTCAATTTAGGTGAATGCAGAACTCTTTRGGGACTAAAATATAGATGAGAATCAATGTCTCCTTCGCGTTTCCCTGTGCTATGGTCAAAGATAGCCGCACGTGCCTTTGTATACCTGTGAATACTTGTCAGATTTGTAAAGACATAAAGAAAACAACAAAGTCATTTGTATAAAAACGATTTTAGTATTCTCAGGAAGAATTGTAATCCTAAACATTAGATAAATAGTGAATTAAATGTTATTGACATTGCAAAGACGCTTTAGAGCTTTATCTTGAATATTCTTGAAAAGAAATTAAAAGTATGATGTARGCAAATSACTTAATTGCTGTRTTTACATCTAATTMACTGTATCTCCATCCCGGGGGGGGACTACCTCCCRAACTTGGGTGAGGGTGTGCTGTACGACCCTGAAAACTCTTACCCTATCCCAGACCAATTTTTGTGATTTTACATACCCTATCCCAGACTAAAGGTACATTATTTTAGCGTTAAKAGCGTGGCCTAGTAGATACGATCACAGGCAAAACTCCACCCTACCCCAGACAATGAGACTATAACCTATCCTGGACAAAAAGACTACCCTATCCCAGACAAAACTACTACCCTAAACCAGACAAAACTACTACCCTAAACCAGACAAATGGGCAAAAAATGATACCCTATCCCAGACTTGGAGCTCCGAGAAAGAGACCCTATCGCGCGGCACATACCCGTATAGTAAATATACGGGAGTACCTCCCCCCCCCCCGGATTTCTATTTAGAAATTGCAAGGTTGCACTACCTATCATAATCTACAAAAATGTTCTTTTAAAGTGCCAGAATTCAATCTGGAATCTGGCAAGCAAGCATTGTGTCCTTCTTTTCTACAATGAGTTCTTTCTGTATATTTGTGTAAAGAAGCGTGCATCATCTTGTGCTCCAAGTAGTTGCGACCGTACGCTTTTCTAAGGTCCTTGAACACCTCTTTATTGTAGTACACCCATTTACCGTTTGTCTTCATTTGGATTACTTCCGGTTTTGRATCTTCGAAAAAAATTGTTACTATCCCCCCCACTTTCCATGCAGTTTTTCGAGTGGCACAAAAAACATGTATTTGGTCAGATAACTCGTCTACTAGGTAGTTGCTAAATTTCCTGTATCCTCGAAAAAGTTCATAGAGTTCAGATTTGCTGATTCCGTAAACAATCATGTCGATGTCGCCAGAATCCCACGGTAAGACTCCTCGGACCTTTACTGCGCCTAACGCCACACCAGCCACAACTGTGTGAGAAACATTCTTCCAAGCAAGAAAATCTGTAACTTCGAATAAACAGTGTTGCAAGTTCTTTACTATGAATGGGTACGCAAACGTCCCTTGGCTAGTCCAATGACTGCCATCTAGCATTACCTTGTGGGCTATCTTTTCATCACAYATGTCTTCACCAATAATTGGACTAGAATGAAGATCACATAAGTCCAATTCCTTCATATCGATATTTCTAAAACGGAACACCTTGTGCTTGTGTGCAAATGGAAGACGATTTAGGTACTGTTCCCGTCTTTCCTCTGCCAAGGTTGCTGAGCAGGTGTTGTCGTTTGATGCTCCCATATACACGTCTGGAAGAACCCCACTCACTAATCCTGCTTTCTTGGCTTGAAGGAAAAAGTCCGTTATCGACATGGACGTTAATGATCCATCAAACGTGAGGTTTTTCTCATTCAAACGTTTTGACACACTTGTTGTTCTTCCTATAAACGATGAAGCTATTTCGTCGCATATCATTACTTCTCCAATCGATCGATGGTACTCGTAGCTCTGGGAAAGTGTCCAGTTACACAACGTAAGACGATAACATGGGATTTCCAATTTATCCTGCTCAAGTATGGATCCACTCACAAAATCTAGTTCTGGAATGTTTTCTAATGCATCAATAAGCCACCCGACACCATGCGAAGCAGACGTAGGGTAGACAATGTCGTATTTGGCGTTGAGAAAGAAAAAATACTTGGTTTTGACATCGAATATGAGAGAGTTGAACTGGACACCGACAGTTGCTTCGCTATTGCCAGGAACCAGGACATTCACATTTGGAATTAGCTGTTGCAGTTTCTGCTTTTTGCCTTCCAAGCATGACTTTGTTATCTTCTTATCGCGATACAAAATAATAGTTACCAACTTTCCAAATTGAATGTTATCATAAGGAARTGGTGTTGGTAGAGGTGGTGTTCTTATTAGTGGTTGAGGACTTGGCTTTTTAGGAGTTGTCGAGTCAGCTGCACTTGGCTGGAGTTTAATCAACTCTGACTTGATTTCAGCGAGGTCCTGGAGGGCTTCTGACAAGCGTTCTTCCAATATWTGACAGGCAWTCCTGTTTAGAAATTTTAAGTCGCAAGTGTCTGTTTTTTCATAGKTCACGAACAGGAGTACAGCGGTTTGCAAAATGAAAACAAACAAAAAGATGATACGGGGTGAACGAGACGTCCAGAGTGCCATCTCTTATTACGTGTTCTCTCCAGTCAAATATCGGCATAAGTATCCACGCTTTTTTCAATTTTCATGGATGCTGTTGGAATARCTTTAAAAACGTTAAGTTCTAATCCTGGGATTCGGATATGATTTGAAACCAGAATCCAGAAAGATAGTTTGAAATTTGGAATCCAAGTGGAACCAATTGACCAGCAGGTAGAATCTGGACAGCAAGCGACTGAAAAAAAAAATGATTGCAGAAAAGTTTGGTGATAATTTTTTTTAATGTTGCCAGTGAGCCACATCCAAACACTGCTATTGCATATTTGATATTGTAACTTGACACACTGCAAGCTATGACAATAGTGTGTGGAAAAATCTCTTTCGGATATTAAGGTAGTAGGAATGGATAAACGTTAAAAAACACCTTTGACTTTTTTCTCAATATTCGTGTTCTTTAAATGCATATAAACAACTTTGGAGTGTGTTTAGGTCTATAGCTAAACACAATTAGAAATAAAATAAGAAAAACTTTGTATCCATATGAGTTATTTTT